TATGATCAAAGGCTTCCATAATGAGTGTCCTTTTTTAAATCCTAGTGAGGGGGGCTGGGGAAGAATAGTAATAATTGTAAATGAATAATGTGGTGAAAATTATATGTCAAGTCTTTCAAGCAAAATCTAAAATTTGGGGTTTAGGTTTGGACTTGCTTAAGTCGTTGGTTCACATGTGGCCTAACTGGACCTTGAAAACAAGCCTGCCTCTATTGGTGTAGGGAACAGTGACTGTTTGCAGCAGTAGTGTGTTTTCTGACAGAGCTACAGGAGCAGTGAGGCATAATGCCTATGAGGTGCTTCCTGCAGCTGGCTGGGCCAAGCATGCTACACAAGGACTTTCATAAAGCAAAAGCATCTTCCTACCTTAAAGAGGTTCCTTCAGTATAAAATTCCAGATAAATATGGCCTAGTAGAAAGCCATATGCTTTGCTTGCAAGTCTTCCTTGTGACACCCACCCACACAACTTTAATTGGTATGATTTGTGGCATGCTGACCTTGCTACAGGGATCTCTTTACACTCCAGGGGTAGCCTGGGGATCCCTGTCCAGCAGAGTAGATCTATAGCAGGCATTATGTATATCTGCCTGGCACCTGAGCCTTGGGGCTGCCAGGAGCCTATGCCATCCTGCAGTAAGGTCCTCTCTGAGGGGCACGCTCAGCACCGCTCCCTGGGACCATTTGTGACTGTCTCTTGCAGTATCTCTTTGAAAACGGCCGAGTGGACGACATCTTCTCAGATCTCTATTACATACGGTTCACCGAGTGGTTACATGAAGTTCTCAAGGATGTGCAGCCCCGGGTCACTCCTCTGGGTAAGAGCACTTAGGTTGCCCTGTTTTAGGAAGAGCTTCTTGAGACATGCTGGCCTACGAAGCAGAGAGGGATTCTTGCTGCCTCATAATGGCTAGCATCTTACCCACCAGAAACAGGCTGACATGGGCTGTTTCCAAGCTCAGCTCCCTGACACTGAGTTACAGTGGCATGTTGCTTTGGTACCTCTACTGGGAGACTGGAGCTAGCATCCAGCAGTGACACCAGAATCATGTTTGGAAGCTTCTCTTAGTTTTGAAGTGCAGTGGGTTTTGCAACCTTCCTGGGCATGAGGCAGAGCCTTGGAAGAGTCCAGCCAGCAGGCTGTGGCTGCTAAACTCTTTGTTCACAGTAGAGTGGTTGGGTAACAGCTAAAGGAGTAAGTTATGCATGAACTAGCTTTGCCAGTGTTGCAGTAGAGACTAGGCCATCCCCACGTCCTTGCAGTCCTGCTTTGGCCTAAGCAGAGGTGTTCGGGGCTGCCTGGTCTCTGACTTGTTTTGCTTGGCAAGGCAGTTTCCAGGCCCCTTTTGTCTGTCATCTGCCTCTGACTTGCGTGCTCTGTTCTTTGGGCCAGTCCGTGGCTGTGTGGTACGCACTGCCGTCCAGGCTCCTGCTGCTCCTCCTCTCTAAACAGCTGAGCAGGAAAAGGCCTGAGGAATCAAAGGCTTGCTCAGGTGTCCAAGCATGCATTCAGCCCCAGGCTGAATCTGCTGTGCCGGCTTGTAGGCTCTTGTGTGCTGTTGGATTGGAAGGATCTGCACTGGACTTGGACATTAATTGTGAAGTTGCTCAGGTGCATGTTCCTGCCCTTTCTGGGTGGTGGTATGGGAAACTGCAGCACCAGAGGCTGTGGTATACAGGTGGAGTCCTTCCTCCTTGTGTCTGCTCCTCGTGTATTCCTAAAGGTTCCTCACGGTTCTGGTGGTGGAACTGGGGCATTGAGCAGCCCCCACACCCCTCAGGGGCAGTCCCTTCCCTGGGAGCGCCTCTCCTGTTCCTGCTGTAACTACACAGGGCTGACCCTGGCTTCTGACCGCTGCAGGTTACGTCCTCCCCAGTCACGTGACTGAGGAGATGCTGTGGGAGTGCAAGCAGCTGGGAGCCCATTCCCCTTCCACTTTGCTCACTACGCTGATGTTTTTCAACACCAAGTAAGTATTTGGGGCTGCTGGCTTGCGAGGCGGAGCCTTCAGCATCTTTTCCAGGACTGCTGGGAGGCGGTGAGGAATCCAGACAAGGGTGGGTTGGATGGGGGACACCAAAGCCAACCTCTCACCCAGGAAAGTATAGTGTGCCTGCCTTCTGTCACGGTGCACTGTTCTGTGTCCCCCACTGCTGCACAGGTACTTCCTCTTGAAAACCGTAGATCAGCATATGAAGTTGGCCTTCTCCAAGGTCTTAAGGCAGACCAAGAAGAATCCTTCCAACCCCAAGGATAAGAGCACAAGTATCCGGTATCTGAAGGCACTTGGTATACACCAGACAGGCCAGAAAGGTAGTGTGTGCGCGGAGGGGAGGAGTGGATGTGGTTTGGGAATGTGTGAACTCCTATTTGGAGTAGTCCAATAGAAATGCAGAGGTGATGAGGGAATACAGCCTCTTGTCCTCACAAAGTCACTGGATTGGTATCAAGGCCTCTTGCCTTTCGGGCTGCAGCTGGGTGGGGACAGTGGTAACTAGGCTGTAGAGCTGAAGCCAGTGGCCTTGTGCATGAAGTGGGTTCTCCCACAGCTCGCAAGCCTGCGATGCTGTGGGGCGGGAAAGCCACCAGGCTCTTTTGGCCTTCTGGTAGCGGTACCTTGTGGCCCTGCCTGTCAGGGAAAGGGTAGCGAACATCCAGTGGCGAAACCGGGGCCCTGCCAGGCCCTGCACCAGGTCTTACTGCCTGCACGGGGGTTGCAGTTACAGATGACATGTATGCAGAGCAGACGGAGAATCCCGAGAACCCTCTGAGGTGTCCGATAAAGCTCTATGACTTCTACCTCTTCAAATGGTGAGCGCTTCTGGGCTGTGCTGTGCATGGGCTGGCCCATTGTGTACAAATGCAGATACAAACTACACCTTAAACTGTTTCAGTGCAGGATGTCTTCCCCTGGCCTGACCTCTGCTGACATACCAAGGTCACCTACATGGCTATGTTGCATGAGGGGATGCATGTGCCTCTGACCCTGCATTCATCACAATTGCTCAGCTCTTAGAGGGGCTCAGTCCTGATGTGTGCACTGACTTGGAGGGTTTTACACTGCCGGCACAGCGCAGATGCTCTGCCGGAAGCACCCTCTACTTCTGCTGAGCTGTCTGCCTCTAGGTGCAGTTCCCATTTCAGACAGGAGTTGGCTTTTGAAATCAGGAGAACTAACTTCCTGTGCCCCTGGTGGCTGGGTTTGTGCATGCTCCTCAATGCCGCAGTGCAAGCAGAGCAGTCTGTTTCTGCACGACTACCTTGCAAAGAGAAACAGGCCCTTACGGCCTGCCACTTCCCTCCTGGCCATGTGCTAGCAAACACATTCCCACATCAGGGGGGCCCTCACATGTTAGTCTTGGTCCACCTGAAAGGCTGAGCTGAGCTATCCAGATGGAGTTCCCTGCCTGCCACAAACAACATGGGGAAGTAGTTGGGTAACATGGGTGAGGCTCCATGGCTGCCCAGTTTAGCCTTTCTTCAGCTGCTGTCTGTGCTCCGGGTCCCGAGAGGCCCAGGCAGGCAGGGCAGTGCTTACCCAGCGTTCCCTGCTAGCCTGGCTGTTTCTGCTTTTCCCCGTACAGCCCCCAGAGCGTGAAAGGCCGGAATGACACGTTCTACCTGACTCCGGAGCCCGTGGTAGCCCCCAACAGCCCTATCTGGTATTCCATCCAGCCCATCAGCAGGGAGCAGATGGAACAGATGCTCACCCGGATCCTGGTGATACGAGAGATTCAGGAAGCGATCGCAGTGGCTAACGCCAGCACCATGCACTAGGCATCCGTCTCAGCTGGACGGGGGTGGGGGGGCGAGGATGGATTGTACAGACTTTCACACTAAAGGAGATGCCTACATTTTGTTTTTTATTGGTGTAGTTATGAAGCCCTTTTAGGCTTCTTCTCTTTAAAAGAATCTAAAAGGAAAACCTACCCTTTGTGTCTCCTACCGAACACGCTGAACTGTGGCACCAGTGGAGGCCAATTCTGTGTGCAGGGAGCTGCGGAAAGCTGCTGGCCAACTGGCTTTTCTATGATGTGGAAAACAGACGTGAACCATGGGTTTGGCCAGGACGGCTGGGGCTCAGCGTCTCCTCGGATCACGAGCAGAGCGAATGAGGGCTGGACCTGCCCCGCTGTGGGAAGAGGCGAGTGTCTTTTCTGACCTCGCATTTGGACAGTGCGTCACCGTTGCCCTGGAGAATGAGAAGGAGAGTGAACTGCAATTATGATTTATTAAAAATACAATTTCTATCCAAACCTTTAAGTGACATTTTTAGATGTTAAAAGTAAAAACTTTACCACGCATTTCTTTTTTTTTTTGGCCCAGCTTGAGGCCTTAAACCTTGAGGCTCCCATGCCTGATGGAATTCTTGTAACATACACTTGTGTATCATATAAAGATACCACACTGTTTCTCTTATGTATTCTTACTCTAGTTGTTTATTAAGAATGACGAGCACGTCTTTTCAACATGCCGGTGAACAACGTGTCTTTATTTGGGGAAGAGAGTGAGAGCCACGAGAGGGGGGCTTGCAAAAGGTCAGTGTCACCGGGTTGTTCTGGGCCTCTCTTCTCCCTCCACCCCTCCTGTGGGGATGCCATGTCCTCCTCTGTTTTGTGTCTTGGGTCGGTTTTACTCTTTGACGCAGTAAATCAGCTGTTTGGAAGCGCCGGTTTGCTGATGGGACCTCGGCGTCGGGCTGCAAGCGCAGGGCTCATCCTCCCAGATAAGATTACTGGCATGTCTAGTGTCCTGCCCCTGGTGACTGCTCCTCTACGCAGATCAGCTACGTGATGGCTGATGGGGTAGGGAGACGAGCACTGCACACTCCAGGGCTGTCACCTGGGGCAAGCATATGTCACTGGCTTGCCCCAGGTGACAGCCCTGGAGGTTGGAATGTCAGCAGTGGTCCCTGTTTAAACTGAGCCCACAGCCCCTGCCTTGCTGCTGTTCACATCAGTCACCAGAAGTCTGCTCTTTTGCTGTGGGCAGGTAGACAGCTGTGCTTGTAGTGAGGTGTGAGTGAACCACGCTTCCAGCTGCTGGGACATGGAGACAACGCTAGCTTCTTGAATCTCTTCTCTTCTGCCCTTCTTTTCCCCGTCTCGTTTCTCAGATGTGCTGGAATCGGCTGAAGCTTCTCCCTTGGGGTTGAGAAGGGGTCGGATTTGGAGGCTCCCACTGGTCACCACCCCGTTCCCAGTAGCAAGGAGAGCGTGTGCTCTTGTTCTGTGCCTGTAGGTCAGTCATGCTAGGGCAGATGTCAGCCCTCAGCTAGGAGTGGCCCTCGCGTGCTGTCTGTGTTAGAAAAGGAGGTGTACAGCATGGAAGAGTCTGGGCTGCTATCAGATGTGCCCAGGAACAAGATAGTGAGGATGTGAGTGAGGAATCTGCTGCAGTAGAACCTGAGGGCTGTGGTCAGGGGATGGGAAATCAGGCCAGCTCTGCCATGCGCTGAAGCGGACTTGCTCCCTTGGTTAGTGACCAAAGCAAGCAGCAGAATGGTAGTGTAAGTTAGCTCCCTCTTCCCTCCCCAAGTACAGCTCATCCCACCTAATAGTAGGGAGAGGCTGTGTCTGGCTGAGCTTGTGCTGGGAAGGAGGAGAGACCAGCACACTCCCAAGCAGGGTGGTCCATTTGGCTGGGGGCTCTGTGTCAGTGATGCGCTGCAGTTGGTTGCAAGATGCTTCTATTCCCTCCCTGTGGTTTGGTGATCGGAGCGGGCCTCTTGCAGGCCCCACTGCTCTGTTCCTCATATTGGCTGGATTTGAAAGGGAGTTATCCTGCCTCCTGCCCAGAAACCCAGTGACCCTGAGAGGAAGGCCTTGGCTGAGGGGGTGGCATGCCCAGGAGGCTGCGCAAGAATGCAGCTGCAGCTTGCCTGGCTTTTGGAGCATGCAGGCCCAGGACGATCAGTCTGAGAGCAGCGCAAAGATAAAAGCCAGGAGTGCAGGGGGGCACTTCTGTTCCCTGCAAGCTGCTAAACAGATGGGATGGTTCCATATCTAGTTTGGAAAACCACATAGATAATGCAATGTTGCAAGAGCCTGAAACCACTTGCCAAGCATGAGAGGCTAGAAATAGAGCAGTGAGGGCAGGTGCAGGCTTGGAGGGAGCAGGGACCTGCCAGCAGCGCTGTGTGCTGAAACTGTACACCCCGCTGCACAAAGCCACTGCTCTGGCCCGGTGCGGGTGCAAGAGGGGAAGAGACCCTGAGTAGAATTCCCATCTGTCTTGAGCAAGTTCTCTAGCCTGGGGTGCTGGCAGGCACAGGGGGTTGTGCAGACACCTCACCGGGTTTTGCCCTCCTGACCTGCGCATTTTCCATTGCTCGCCTTTGTCTTTCTGACCTTTGTGTGGAGGGCAGCCATGCCCCTTTCACTCCTTGTTTTAGAGACTACCGATATGCTGTGATCTATGGGTGGGTTTTCTGGAACCTGTCTCTAGCCGGTGGCTGTGGATCCAGTTTGAGATCCACCTTATTTCTTGAGATCATGTCTCCCAGAAGGGCTCCTAGGCGAGCCCAGCAGAGTGCTGTGGCCTGGAGTTGTGAGCCTGGTTATGGGAAGGCTGTTCCTAGTTACATGGTGCAAACTAGTCTGCCGCTTGCTCCTGTAAGAGCTGCAGCATGAGTGCACTGGGTACCCGTCACATGGCAGTTGCGGAGGTCTCTGCTCCAGGCGTCGGGCCCCTGCTTTGGCTTGCACAGGGGCTGTTTTGGCTTTCTGTCGCTGGCTGGCTGGCTAAGCTGAGGCGAGCTGCCTTTGCGTCGCGTACCTCTTGCGTTTGGACCAGGAGAAACCATAGCAAGCGTGACTGACCCGTGCACGTTCCTCACCGTCATGTCTGACCTGCATACGGCCCTGTCCCGTTCTACTGCTTCTGCCACCTCTAACTGCCCCTTAGACCCTTTCTTTCTTTCTAAAGATGCAGGTTGCTTCCCTAAGGCTGCAGTGGCCCAGGCCGCGGCGCTCAGGCTGGAGGCCGGTGTCCCCTGGTGGGGGGAAGCCTGTAGAGGGGCCGTGTCCCTGTACCCTCGTAGGGGCTGGTGGAGGAAGCCGCACCAGGGTAGCTAGGGCAGGACAGGCCTGGTGCTGAGGCGGCCTCGCAGCGAGCATGCAGCCCCCGCCCGGGGCCGCAGGCCCTGTCCTCAGCTTCCCGCAAAGTGACCTTCCGCTCTCCCCGGCGGCTTCGCCCGCCTTACTGCTCCCGCAGGTGGTTTGCAAGATGCACTTGACTATTTTTTACGTTCCTTTGATCTCTGCTCTTTGTAATCGGCTTGGAAATAAAACAATTGTTTCCCTGCAGCCTTTGTCCGACTCTCTTTGCCCAGCGCCGGCAGCAGCGGGGAAGCCCACGGCACCGGGAAGCCCCCGCGTGGCG